GAGAGAGAGAGAGAGCGCAAGAGGCACTCTCTGCGAGTTAGGGTGTAAGGAGGCACTGCGCGAGAGAGAAAGCGTGATGCGATTGGATGAACGGCAGTGGGCGGAGGTACTTTGAGCGTGTTGAATCGCCTGCGTCTGTGTGTACATGCGTTACCGGCGCGTCTGCGCGTACGTGAGCCTCCGCTGACAGGGAAAATGAAGCCCGCGCGTACGCGCGCGCACACAGCGCTCATACATTGATGTGACACGGAACGAGTGAGTAACAACGGGCAGAGTGGGGGAAAGAGATGCGAGAGTCAAGTGAGGAAGACGAGCCAGGCGTCGCGTGTGTGCAAGTTCCCGTTTGCTTCCAGTTTCCACCTTCGTCAAATTCCATCCAGTAACTCGACCCGCCAGCCGCTTACGAGGCGAATTGTATCATTTCTCTCTTTACTTCCACATCACGAAATAAATTTGTACTCATCGTCTCTTACGAATTGATATATCTGAAAATAATATACCGAGAGTTTGTTACCCGAGGTAATAATAAAATTTGCAAACTACCATTATTTTGTGATATCAATTCCTCTTAGTTTAACTGATCAGTTTATGGAAGAAATTCCTAAATTGTGGAGCATGAAAGAATTGAATAATGTAGAAAATTGGCACAATATTGCAACTTGTTTCAATAAGGTTCTGACAGCGTTACATCTCTTTCAAAATAAATAAATAGCTTCCTTGGCTATATTGGTAACAGCCCATCGGTCTGTCAAGCCTATCTGTCGATAAACCATTTATCTAAATCTTTGCATGTTCAAGTTTTACAAGTCACTCAAAAGGTATGATTATTGCCTAACTTTGGAAAAATATATAAAAATATTTAGAATATATGTTTCCGTAAAAATGAAACAAAAGAAATATGATTGATGAATAAAAGAACTTAGAAGTATCAAAACAAACTTTTAAAGCTCGAACAGTTAATATGTGACAATTATTGCATACTTATTATTTCTTATTTATTTAGAAATATGCGTAAAATTTTGGAAATAAATTTATAAAGAAATTACTTTCTATATTGATGTAAGAAAAAGTATGATCTTACGTATGATCTCTAAAAAGAATTCTTAATCATAAAGATTAATATCTTTACGGATATTATTCGTGTTATAATATATTATTAAATGTTAAGTTCACTCAGAGCGAGAAACCTGATAATACAATTTCCTCTTCATTTAGAAAAATTTGAATGAATATTTAACAAGTCGAATAAAAATAGATGTACTTAATTGATATATTGATATTGAATATACTATAAAAAATTAAGTTTTTAAATAAAAATACAGTAATCATTAAGAGAGGAAATAGATAATTTAAGAAGGATTGTATTTGTTATTGGCGAGAGATTTGCATGACGACTCAGATTTGCATTTAACGCTTTGTTTCCGTATCGCTATGTAACGAATAACGATCGATTTCGCCGAAATGATTTATTTAATCTGTTGAAAGACTATAGCTTGAAAAGTAGAGATTGCTGTCACAGAAACGCAATTTCGTTCGTATCGGAAGCCAATACTTGATTTATCATTCAATTGGCTAACCTTCATGTCGAAATAATATACGCTACCAGCTGCGACTAAAATACCTGTCGCAAAGGCGTAGGTTATTCGACGATCATCGATTTATAATTCAGATTTATTTCCTGCGTGTCTAACCTATTTATAGTTCGCAATTATCATGTTACAAACGGTGCGTTACAATTTATTGTTTTATGCTTTTTTCTTTATATGTCGCATTCCTCGTTCATGTATTATTCCACCATGTATTATTTTCCAAAATCAACATCCTCACCATATATGCTTTTAGAAATTAATTAAATATTATAAATATACTGGAATATACACACATAAATTAACCATTGACTCCTTGAAATTATATATGGTTTTTATAAATTATTCAACAATTAATTAACACTCAAAAAAAGGGTGACGTGAACTGTATTATTTATTTTTGAAAAAAGAAAATTTATATATTCTTTTATACATGATAACATGCATTTTAGGAAAGAAAGAAAAAAGAAATAATTGAAATATTTTTTATGAAATGCATTTTTATGAAATTATAAAAGTACATTTTTTGTTATATGTATTTCAGTATTTTTATAGCGTAATTTTAAACGGATGTTATGTCAAATCGATATGATTTAATTCGTTATCTTAGCATTAGCAATATACTTTAAGTTTTGTTTTGATAACACTTTCTTGTGAACTTGAGAAATAAACAGCATGCACTATTTGTAATATTCTTGCGATAAAAACGATTTTATTAATATATATTTGATCCTTGTCATATAATATTGATTTATTCAAATTCAATAACTTAAAACAGTAACTTAAATCTTTAATCATTAATATCATATTTTCTCTCACTTTTTTTATCTAGTAGATACAAAGATACAAAGTTGTCAAAGTTGCTATATATCTATATATTTTAATATATTAGTATTATTAATTTAGCTATTTTTAATATACAAATTAATTGGTAGAGAAAATGTACAGTAAATAGTTAATCCTTTAATATTGCTTGAAAATATCTCTTTCTTGAAATATATATTTTTAATATTAATTAAATGATAATAAATTACTTTGTTGTCGAACAAGTTGGAAATTATTTGACTACATAACATTAATTTCTCGCTATTTTCAATTGTATAGTTAGATAAGAATGCTTTGTCGTGTTATATAATTGATGCAAAAACATTTCAATAAGGACTTTTGAAGAGAGCCTCCTATATATACGCCTACATATAGATCCCATCAAGTAAATTCAACATGAGGTTATCGAGAAGTGGTGCATTCTTTGTTCGTTACAGTTAATTGGAGTTGCACAGTCAACGCTTTTTTCTGCGTCAATTGAACTTAAATGCTCTAAATTATAGTTCGCACAAGTGATGCTTTTGAAGTCTGTTCCTTTCAATCGACTATTCAAGGGTTTTATTCCATATTTAAAATATTATGAAGTGCGAACATAATAATCTTGCTTTTCATTTTAATGTATTATAGTTTGTTTGCTAGCTGTTGAGCTATAGCATTTTTTCTAACAGTCTCCTTAATTTTGTAACTTTAATAATTGAGTCTCAAATCAGCTAAATAAATAGTAGTTAGCTTTAACTTTTCCGTAGGTCCGTAAAAGACTGTGTGTATACAATATTTAATTATCTTTCATATTGCAGTTGCTACAAGCTTTGCAATTGAGTTTCTAAATTGTATGTATCGCGCGGATAATATTGCCATAAAATAAATATTGAAAGAAAAATGCTTAAAAAAACAAATAAGATAGAAGACAGATATACGCGCGACTAGACACACGTGAATAAAATTATTATTAATGTTGAACATTGATTTTTATGGGCGTTAAGGGTTCAGGTTAATAAATAAGGATCAGTTGTATCGAAAGCTGTTGTGGAAATGGAAACGGAGTTATTGAACAGGAATCCTCGATGCTTTTACTTCGGTGTTCCCTCTCGCAGGAGAGCGAAAGCACTGGGAAATCCTCAGAATGCTTCGACGGTTTTAAATCTCGATGCGGACACGTACAAGGCGAGATACGAGGCGGCGTGCTCTGGTTTTACGATTTTCGCCCTACTTTTTATTTGTCTCTCAAACTTCCAGATAGAAGGCCCTATGTTACATTCGTGTTCGTCAAAAGGCAGGATACTTTTATTCTTACTAAATTTATCCTTAAAGTTAATTATGCGAATCGAGCTTTTGTGATATTCCTATTTTGATTAACAGAATTAAATTATTTTATTTGTTATCGACAACATTGTAATTCGTCCATTGATTTGATATCTGAGCTATACGTTAAAATAAATACCTTGCGGAAATTGAATTACAAAGATGGATGGTATTAATTTTTAAAAATAACATAGATGATAACATAGATGATAGCTGTCTAAAAATCCATAATAAAATCAATCTTATGTAAACTGTATACATTTAAAAAAATATTTTATAATTAAATATTTTTATATAATTTAAAATAAACGAGAATTTCTATTAATCTATTTGCTGCATATTTGGTATTTTATTTTTATATTTTAAAAGGCTTGCCTTTTTTATTTAGTTGAAATGCTGCGTCCTACTTCAATATACAATAGAATTATAATATAAATGTGGATCGTGAATTGACGCATTTCAAATTCAATATTTTTTTATTTTGGAGAACACATTGTGTTTTTTTCTGTTATGAAAATATTAAATATTAAATTAGAGTTTAATCATTTTAACATTGCTAATTTATTTTTAGATGTGATAAAAGAGATAACGATTTTTTATTTAACATGTCATTTATTAACACTAAAGGTATATGAAAAAGCAAAGTAATTTGTTGTGATTATTAATAAAATCAGTAGTTCCAATAAAATGATACAATAAATATAAATGCAGAATATACAATTACACGGAAAGAACACTTTTGTTGGCCCATCAAAATTATTTTGTAGAACACTTAAAGGTGATGATAATGCAAAAATGTTTGATCTTCTAACAATCAATTTGAACATCGTATATAATAATTTTGAAGGCCCAATAAAATCGTTTTCAGATCTCTATCAAATTTTTAGATTTGTCAGCCAAAGTATTTTTTCCGTGTATGTAATATACAGATGAAATGATATTCTATTCTAAATTTTTCTTTATGATATGTGATATATTTACGTATTTTCTATAATGATATAATATTTTTATAAAATGTTGAATGTGATAAATATTTGAAGAAAAAATCCATAACAAAAGTTTTTTCTCATTTTCTTATTTTACATTATCCGTGTTTCTTTATTTGCAAAAACATATGCAATATTTTCTTGCGACGAACAAATTCTTACATTGTGTTACAGATGATCGCTTTACATTTTTAACCTCTCAAAATAAATTTTATTTTATGTCTTGAAGATAAAATTAATTTCTCTTGTATGTATACGTAATTTTTCAATACTTGATACTCGTGTCGACACATACAATTGATTATTGCTTTTCACATGATAATGATTTCTTAGAGTAATATATTTCGATACAAAATTATTGCTATGATAGTTCACATTATATGTCATAATTTGTTCTTTAAACACTTTGATTTTACATTTTGATATTTAGCCAACCGATATATGGGTCACCATGTCCCAGTTAGTTTATTTCGCGTAAACTTTGCCAGTTTTCCTACTAAACTAAACTAAATTAATATCGGACATCGATAATCTTTATGCAATATTAAACGTATATCAAGTATAATAAGACTTGATATTTTTGGTGATAAATATTACTATTTCACGATCATGAAGAAAAAATATTGTAGTAACAAATAATTAAAATTATGAACAATGTAATTAATATATGTTATATGAATACAAATGTATTTTCTAAAATATATTATCCGATAGGTTGCTAACCACTATGTTTACTGTTATTCAACGTACGGATGTTTCCTGTTATCGACACCTCGCTCGTATCGGAGATAAACTATCTGTTTAGAATGTTCAATGAAGTATCGTTACACTATCACTTATGGAAATGTGTCGGTTAGCTATTTGTTGTGTATATTATTCTATACATACTTGATATAATATTGCAATACACTTGTTATTTTTATTGACATTTGTTCTTTTTTTTTTATTTTTTTATATACTTGCATAAAATTAGTTTCAGATATATAAAAATCTAAAATTAAAAATTGCCTTACCTTGATGAAATTGAGTTATCAATTTTATTCTTTTGCAATTCCGATGTACGATATGTATAGGTGATTCGCTCGTGTTATATTAGAATATCAATCACATCGAATAGCGGTACGGTGGGCACCGCCTCTCGCAGATCATCAACGCTGCAGGCATAAGAGATACCAGCTGTGATATTCTTCGGTTGCCAGATCAGCCACTCGATTTTCTCGCTGATATCTTTGCAGAGATATATGTCATCCGTGATCGATGTGATGAACGGATCGTTAAGACCCACAAACGCCGTACCCTGCTTGCTCAACGGATCGTAGATGACTTTCCAATAGAATTTGGGCACGGACAGTGCGTCCAAATATAAGGGTTCCTGGTTGTCATAAATGTCCTTCATAGTCATATGACCGTGTACCCCCGTGTAAACGTCGAGGTCCAAATGATAGGTGGCGGCGAAGTATCTGACGCTGATCTCCAGAGAATTCCAATTACCCCCGTTAAAGGTTTGCCATTGAGGGGCGGTGTTCAAGTACCAAAAGGTTGATCTCTGTTGAGCGCCATAGACGAAGTCTGCTTTGGCCACCATATGTCCACGGGAGAGATACTGCGATCTATCGTACAATAGGTTCTTAGCCAATTTGAACGATTTCAGAGTTTTAGCGAGTATATTTACTTGGTTTTTAATTTTGTATGCTTCCTCCATATCTATTCCGGGATAAAAGCTTCCCGCTTCAAATTCCTGCGGCCTGAAACATGGAAATTACTCGGATCATTATCCGAAAATAATAACGAACATGCTTTTTTCATTAGTAATTGTTTATTTATTAAATATAAGCCTTGTTTAAAAAATATATCAAGAACGTAAACAAATATTACAATTGATGATTTCTTTGATTATCAAAATATTAATATAAATTTAAATTATTAATAAAATTATTAAATTATATTTAAATTTAATTTATTAAAATTCTTTAAAATGTAATATTGAAATAATCCGTCTAAAAATCTAAAGATCTGCCGAATAAAGGTATGCTGAATCGATGATCTGTCAGTGAAATACTTGAAAATACTTGACATATTAAAAAATCTTACCTGGGATAGTTTTTTTGATAATTTTCGATCATTTTCGTCATTTTAAATTTTGTATAGTACGTTGTATAAGTCACATTGTCGCGACATATTTCAATAGTGCGAATGAAGGTGTCTTTCACGTTGAAACCAATCTCGATGGGTGTGTATCTATCAAGACAAGGTGGCGAGTCCATGTACCTAGCATAATGCTCGGTGTGAGAGTTGCAACTTAGTGATCTCAAATACTGGCGAACATCATTCATGTAAAACACTTTATTTATTATGCAAACTGCTTCGACTAGGTTGCCCCAACCTCTATTTTTGAGATAATTCTCTCTGCCTGGGCATGCAAGATAAAAAGATTCGCCTGCATTAATCCTTAATTTTCCATCGTCATCTGGATACCAAAATTTTAGACCATCATCCTGTTTTAAAAGTAACGGTTGAGGCTCTTTAAGATCCGCTCTATACTGTATTGAGATTGTACACAAATCTAGAAATGATGATATAATTATTTTAATAAATGATTTTCGCGAATTTTGATGTAAATTAATCGGGTAACTTACTAATGGGGGAAGCAATCAGATGTACAATTACCCATGTGCTGTAACACGCAAGAAACGAAATGATCACCCAAATGGACATGATTAAGTCCGAGTAGTTGTACGTTAATGATTCTGTTAATGATTCTGTCTGCCTCTTTTATTTATACTCGTCGATTAATGGTGAACTCTTATGATATTTGAAAGAAGTTTTCGATATCATATTTAATTTGACTAACAATAATTTATAAGATAACATTACTTACTCCCGGATTATGTTTGCTTTAGTTCAACAAGAATGCTTCAGAGATAAATCTGTTTCATAACTTTAGACCGATTGCACTTACGAAACAAAAAAGTTTAAGTTTATTTAAGCAATATTTAATTAAGTGAAAGTGCGCGTACGTGCAGTCACTGATGCTACATTAACTGTACGGAATATTTTATCGTTAATTCTGTAGCGAATTTGGAAATTAAGTCAATATATCTAGGTTTATCCTACAAGGATTAATTATTTCCTTGAATAGTTGATTATTTTTCGATTATCATATTCAGAATAGAGACTCTTTGATTATTTTTATTATTATTTATCAATGTTATTCAAAATTTCTTAAATTTGCTTTTTGTTTTAGGTCTTCTTTTTTTGCACATTCTTTTTTCTTTTTCATTTTTGGTTTCTTGAAATATTTAAATCGAAAAAGTGAGAGAAACGAAAAGGAAAAATAATATCAAAAAGTATTCAGTGTCGAAATTATACAATTTATGCGAAATGTATATAATTTATAAAATCTGCTATATAAATATAAGGTCAAATTAATTAATTTTTCACAAATTAATATCAAAATTTATAAGGTCACGTATATATGTATAATATTACTACTATGTATCAATTTTCTCTGAATAGATATTTGACGTAAGGATATCTCTTTTTATTTAAAGGAGGATTCGTTTAAAAATAATTTTTTTCTACAATTATAACATTCAGCATTGTGTTTTTGTAAGAAATGTTGATCAGTTATTATTACAATATGTAGCTCCAAACGGTAAGCAATTTATAATGGCAATAAAGGAGAGAACATGTTATAACGTGACAGCGCGGCTTAAGTTTAACAGAGCCATTGAGGGAGACGAGTAACTGCCGCATTTATATACTGCGTTTCGGTTAGCCGTAGCACATATGATTTGTACGTGTTGATAAGAGTAACTACAGAGAAACTGTACACGGGGTAAAGCGACTAAATACTCTGATGAGGGCTATCGATGTAAAAGGGAGGTACTTCGGTGAATTAAACGAGCCTTTCTGAATATCGCTAACGTTACTGTTACTAGCTCGACATATTATTTATTTCTGACTTTCACTAACAATCTCATTTGGCGATTTCAATTTCCCATCCTTCTCTTTTCCCTACAGTCGGGCGTACCTATTACGTCTACGTGCCTCCAATACCGTGGATACAAATGAGATATAGAGATGGAATGTTAATGTCGGCCAACTCTATCTTGATGATGCAGTCTGGCGGCTTTTGTATCCGTAAACAAGTGTCCGACATTCAATTATGGTAAATCTGAAGCTCACCGAAGAACATTCTGAATGAAAAAATTTCAATTTGCATAACCAAATGTTTAGGAATCTATATTAATGCTCGCGACTTATTTGAAATGAATGAGACTTTATTCAAAAATGATATGAATATAAAATGAATTGTTACATTCAGTAAAACTGCAAAATTGATCCATAAATAGATATAAGAAGATAAATGTACTATATGTATCATTTTATAAAATTATATCATATAAAAAATTTTATATATTTATTTCTAAAAATAAAATAAATATATATGTTGAAATTTAAAATTATATATATATTGCAGTATCATAATACTATCTTTGTCTTATAATATTTTTCACAGAAATGACATGGAATAATTCTCTCCAAATTAATGAGCTGCTAAACTATAAATCAGCAATTTGAACGCAGCATGTTCTATTCAATGACAAGTTATGTTCAGTTAAGTTATGGCTTCGACGTGAGTGGCATGCTATCCGGATTTCCCTAAAATATCAACTAGTTTGTGAACGTAGATCGATTTGATGTCGTAATTACCATTTTGAAAAGCATGAAACTTAAGCTTGTGTCAACTATATGTACGTAATTCCAGCATAACTTGTTAATGACAGGAGGCAAAGTTCAATTACGACAGATTCGAAGTCTAATTTACAATGGCCAGAAGGTTAAATAGAGTCATATCTGATAACGGTGGGAACCAGTGCATTAATAATCTGTCTATGTACATATGTACCCTGTCTGCATCTATGTACATATGTATCCTGTTAGAAGTTCTATTTACATAATACATTCATTAAATTGAATTAAAACAATACTTAATAAAATTTTTCTAAAAATCTTGTCAATGAAGTCAATATTGTTTGTTTTTATTTAATACAGATTTTTAAAAGAATAATTTGAAAATCATACTCATTTGATTATATAAAGAAATAAAATGAATAAAATAAAATAAAGAAGTAAAAGAAAAGAAATGTTTGATATGTATCTTCCTTCAAGCGGAAAATTGATTTCGAATATAGGTCGCGGTAATGTTTGACCTCTTCTGGAAACTGACACGAGAAGTCAATAACTTCTCATAAAAGGCGGATTACGCTTTCGTGTGAATCGCTTTATGAAAGCCTTAAGGCATTCAAGGGCCGTCTTGTAAGAGAGCTTTTAACGAAAAACGTGAGATGATGTATTTAGTAACTTGTTCGCGAGTATACCAGAGATGACGGCCTGTATGTATGTGACGGAAGAGACTTTACATAGACGAGCTTTAAAAAACCCGTGTGGCATTCTTTAATTTACGTTGAGATTCTATTAAAAAATATAACAAATTAAATCCACGATATAATTGCATGACAATGTAATTTTTATAAAAGAAAAATATAGGCAATAAAATGAAAGAATTTTTTAGGCAACAAAATAAAATATTTTTTGAAAAATAATTTTATTATTTTATGTTGTTAAAAAGAACGG